AAACGAGGTGGGATGTGACAAGATGGGGTGATACTGGGTCCCTGAAGAAGAGTCACACCCCTCTGCCACCTCCCCTCTGAGAACTGGCCTGAGGGTTGGAGGGGCGTGAACTCCAGGAGGACAGAAAACCTAGTCAGGTTTACAGGAAGCCAGGAAGAGTGGTAGTTCGGCTTCAGTTCTCAAAAGGCGCTAGTGAGGCCGCAGCCCTAGCACAATTCTAGAGTGGTGGAAACAGCTGTAGGAGGGGTCATTGCCCCCTGCAGGGTAAAGGGAAGCACCCCAGAGGAGGCTCTAGGATTGGCAAAGATAAAGGTTGGGATGAGGAGCTCACAGCATGAGTGGCCCGTTGGCAGGAGGCGACAGTAAGGCCGAGGACATCAGCCACAGATGCATGTGGATGGAGGCTGGCTCCCAAGTCGGGAGGGCCTGCAAGGACAGAGGCCAGCACGGACCCCAGGTGCCCCTCCATGATATCACTGTGCTGCCCAGGCTTAGATCACCCCTAGGGAGAAGGACAAGGGGTGGGGAGAATGCTGAACTGACCGAGTACAAACCTGGAATTGGCCATGGTGAAATATAGACATGACTGAGTTATTCTGAACTGGGAATGTTAATATTTCACCACTAATATAAATGGGCTCACAAGCTGAGTTCAGTTCTAGAGAAACAGAGAAAATTACATTTTGCACCCTTGAGTATTGTTGAGTGTAGTCTTATACCTGCGACATAAATACACATACATGCACGTAGCATGCAAGTACTTGTGTGTATGTGGGTAGAAACATACACACGCAAGGGACTGCGCACATGCACCCTGGGATGGGTACGGACACTGACCGATCCTGACTGGTAGGTGAAGGTGCGTCTCCGATGCAGGCAGCTTCTGCGGATGCACACCAGGGTTAAGAGGGCGGCCAGGATGGTGAGGCACGTGGCAGATGCAGAGCCCACCACAGCCAGGATCAGCTGCTGATCCAGGCCCTCTTCAGCCGCCCGACTCTCTTGGACTGGGCCCACGCTCTGCAGCCCTGGGCACAACAAGAGTGGCAGATCATGGGGATGCCTGGGTTTGGGAACCCAGAGGCCACCGTGGGGTCACACAGAGGGAGAGGTCAGAGATCCAGGTATGGACATAGGGAGGTCACTCGGGCTGCATGAAGGAAGGCACCAGGGGTGTCATGGGGAGCAACATGATTTTCCTAGCCCTAGGACAATGGATCATGAGAAGGGAAGGGTCAGAGTCCTAGGGCTTGTGTCATTTGTTGGAGGGGCCTGGGATGCCCTAGCTCTAAGGCAGGGGGTGACATGGAGGGGGAGTGCACTGAGACCAACCTCAGGGCCCAGGAGTCCCACGGGCCCTGCTCTCACCGTTGCCCAGGGTGGACTGTTCTACTGTGTTGCTCCAGTCACCGAGACCCTGGATGCTGGCCCGCACACGGAAGAGGTAGCGTGTGCTGGCATTGAGGCCACGGACGATGGTGCTTGTCTCCTCGGGCCTGTCCACGTCCATCCACAGTGGGTCTCCTGAGCCCCCAGCCACCTGCACCTCCACGATGTACTTGGATATAGGCCCAGATGGCGCCTCTGGGCGCTGCCACATCAGCTGAATTTCAGAGTCTGAGAGGGCCTGGGCATGGAGGTTTCGGGGGGCTGGAGGCCCTGGGGAGATGGGGGTGGGAAGGCAGGGCTCAGATAGGACCAGGCTATGCAGCTCTGGAGTCAGACACATCTCTAGCTGCATCATGTGCTCTGGACACCCCAGAATGGGAGGCACCCTGCCACCCACTTCTTCCCCTCCAGGCTGAA